TTGGGTGTTGGGTTTGGATTTATAGCAATTATGAATGTGGAGGCGAATTAGAAAAACAAACGTGTTTGTTAAGACATTAATTCAATCATCATTAGTATGAGAGCTGGAGCATTCACAAAGGCTGGAGACCAGCTCAAACTGGTTTTCTTAATCTCCACCCACCTAAGTTCTACCAAAGGCATTCATTTAAAAACATTGCATCATCAAAGAAAAAAAAAACCACCCAACTCTCACTGGCTGATCAATGAACCTGAAATCAGGACATTGCCCCCTAGAAGTTCCTATGACCTGATTAAGCTTTTTGCTCTCTATGGCTGACCCCAGCCCTAGGAGTGCCATAATGCTTTGCTGCTCTATGGAAGAAGACACCTCGGTATTCTGTGAAAATCAGCCTGGGTTTTCCCTGGTCCCCAGAGGTTGACTTCTGATGAAGGATCTTGCTGTGACTCCTTTAGGAATGCCTTTCTCCATGATTCTTCAACAGGCTGTATTTGTCATTGCTCTCCAAGCTGATGGAGGGAGTAGGAGGTAAAGGCATGGTGTACCGAGGAGATGAGAGTGGTCGGCATGTGACAGTGGGTGATGTGAAGAAAGGCAGGAAAAGGATGTCAGAGCAGTTATCACTACGTAGGAGGAACTAGACAGAGTATTTCCTAGTTTGGGATAAGGAAGTCTTGATCTGTACTGACATAGTAGCAATTCCAACAGTTTTCTGTTAAAACTAACAAATTTGAGATGCTTGTGTAATGGCTAATTACATAGGAAAATGGCTTTTTTACTTGTCTGTATATTGATCTAGGATAGGACTTTTAAAAGTCATGCAGTTGGCCTAAGTCTTCTCCCAGCATAGTTAAAAGCAGTGGTGAGAGCAAAGCTTAACCTACACTATATCCATTCAAAATAAAATTGAGACCTGCATCCCTTCTGTATTTGTTCCCTGGTGGAGTCCTGTGTTTGAACCCTCATTTTCAACAGAGCTGTTTTGTATAAGTAGAGAGTCTGGCAAGGAGTAGTAAGGTAAATTGCCTTTGTGGCTTGCAAGACCACTTTCTGGGTCCTTTCTTTGAGCATTAGCCAAAATCTATATTGTGTGCTTGGGCAGCTGAGCTGCTGAGTCACACAATAATGTCACTACTGTTTACTTCAATCGACTTTGATCAGCCTTACTGGATCAGATGTGTGATTAAAGGTAGGCACTTGATTTGGTATCGCTCAGTACAGAGGAGGTAAAGGAAGTAATTCACATGAGATGGTCCCAGATAGCAGGGTCAGTGGACCAAATGGGAAGGTGAAGAAGAACTTTTTAATGAAGGCTTTCAAAATAATGTTAGTTGCTTAAGTCTTGAATTACTCATTGGGATGGTTCTTATTAACTACGTTTTCATGTTGTATAGACACACATTTATTACAATTTTAAGTACTATATTGCTGCAGGAAACCCATAATTAATTGATTAATATATTTCTTTTTTTCTTTAACGCAAGAACATTATTAAGAAAGAAGGATGGGCCAGTAGTTACACAGCATTGGGCTGGGACTTGGGAGTTTCTGTTTTCCTTCCCAGCTCAGTCACAGGTTCACTTCATATAAACTTAGCTTCCTGTCTGCTCATAGCTATCCACTGAGGATGATCATCCTTCCTTTCTTTGTTTTAGCAGTCAGAGCAGGATTCAGATGCCTTAGTTTTGGTAAATAGTGTGATATCAAAATCACAACACTGGACTGGCAGTAGATGAAGAGGGTCAGGTGAAATGATCACTGCTGGTGAAACTGGTGGGTGAAGAAAAATATTTTAGTGACCACAATTATCTTATCCTTCTCTATTTTCCTATTCAAGATTCTTGTGTTATAAGTACTGGCAACAGATGTTTGCATTTTCTAGTCATGAAAACAAAATATTCTGGTAAAAGGGTTGGCTTGGGCATTGTCATGTGGAGCATGCAGATTATTAATACTCAGAATATATGTGTGCTTAATCACCTCTCCCCATGCGGTAATGTACCTACGCAGCTAACACCTCTTGGATACAGGAGCTAAGCACACCAGGAAAGAAGACACTTTCTGCAGAGTCCAGAGGACTTTTCATGGAAGCTTGCAACTGAGGAACATTTCCAATTTCATTTTGAAGTGGTATAAAGCTGCATCCTGCAGACCACAGATTTTCAAATTGTGTATCACTATTACTGAGGGAGTTGTTATGGTATCAAATAAATAAAAAATAATCTTGTCTTCATTAAACTCAATAAAGAACTGAAATGATGCTCAAGGTCATTGAAAGTAACTTTTTGTTTTCACATCACCTTATCTTAATGAGGAAGTTAGATGTGTCTTACAGACAAAAAACCTGAAGCCTGTCAGACAGTGTTAGTGATGTTTCCAAAGTCAAAGCTGAGATACTCAACAAAGCTACCAATCTATCCTAAATTTTGTGGTTCTCTCTTCAGGCAGTCACAGATCCTGGTCATTCCAGAATCCTTAACGGTATTTGGGCAATGGAAAATATTATCGGAGATCTTTGTAGTCAAAAAGATTGCAACATGGTTATTTTGTCAACTATTTGTGTGGTTAGAAGGAAAAGGAAATGGAAGGCACACTAGTCTTTCACAAGACCTGTATTGGAAATCACTGATATGAAAATCTCCAAAAGCTATTTTGTTACTAATATTAGTATTACAGAAACACTCGAGTCTGGAGAGAAACTCCCTGGTAAGATGTTACATGAAGAAACTGTAGAAAACACACTTTCTTTTGAAACATTCTGGGTGCTAAATAAAGGTTTTAGTGTTAGAACAACCTGTCTATTATCCTGCCCCTTTTTCAGGAGGGCTCAAGTCTGCTGTCAGTCCTGTGTCATACCTGCCAATCTGCACTTTTCTGAAGCAGCAGTAGGTTTAACTGTTATTGGTGCTCCTTACATGTAATACACCTGCTATATTTTTTTTTAATTTATTTTAGTTCTTGCTCCCTATTTATTTCATGCTAATTCAAACTAAAATGAGTTCTGCAAGTAAAACTTTCCCCTCCGTATGAATGTTCTCATCACTATGTAAGTATCAGGGATGAAAGGAGGGGAAGACAGTGTCCATTTCCTTCTTAATTCCACACTCTGTTTCCTTCATATTGTTGCTATTTCAATATATTTGAGGTCTATGTCCTTTATACTTACAAATATTTGTGTTACTTGTGATATAATAGATCTATAGGGATGAAGGCTTTTTTATTTGTAGCAACCTGTATGTCTGTGAGCCCTAATCCCAGAACAGCTATTATTGTTGCTAAATTGACATGAAAACTAGAATTCCTTACCTAAGGTGTGGAAGCACAAAAAAAAAAAACCACTGGACAAGTTGAATTGCTCTGTTGTCATTGCATATATCAGCCACTGGTTAATTAAGATTAAACATGCTTTGGAATAATTTATTTAAAACAAAACAAACTAGCAGGAAGCTGTTTGCAAGGTGTTGGTAAATGTGTGAAATATTATACAGGTCTATTCTAAAAAAGTAAAAATGTGACTTGGGATGTGGTATAGACACTGACCTACATGAAGCACACAGCAGTAACAGAGATTTGGGTAACATAGACCCTGTTTTGTTATTTCAGTATTCTGGACTTCTATTAAAAATAAGTAGTAGAGAAGCAAGATCTAGTTCAGTAGATGAATGATCAGTATGAATATAGTTAATGTGGTTTGCTAACATAGTTTTAGAGTTTAAATTGTGGTCAGTAGAGAGGCGGGACTGTAAGAGGTAATGTGTGGTACGCATGGCATGCATGCATCTGTTCGCTGTTTTAGTTTAAAAGCTGGCGTAGCACCTTATTGCTGCTTCTATAATGAAATGCTAGGGAAATGCCTTGTTAAAGTGTAGCTTAACATTATTAAAAACAAAACAGTAATTAAAAGGCCTCACAAGTGGAAAAAAAACCAAGAGGCTTATAACCATTTTGTAACACAATTTGTCCTTGACCACCATTAGGTGAATGTCATTCACCTCAACTTCAATGAGTAAAATAATCTCAGTGTTTGTGACCTTTCATAGCCAGAATTAGAAGGAACAAGTAAAAAGGAAAGGGGAAAGAACTGAGGAAAACAAAGAAGGGCAGTGTCAAGATAAGGTTTATCTATGTTCTGTCTCCATGTTTATCTGTTTGTAATGACAAAATTACACATGTGAGTAAACAAGTACAAAGGAAGAAGAGTCGTCACATATGAGGAAATGTATTTCATGTCATCTCTTAGTCATGGTTTTTGCTGTTACCTGGAAAAATTCAGTCAGCTTGATCCACCAGCATTTTATTTCTATTGGAAGAAGTTAATAGAAATGGGTACTAATTTTTTCATTCCAACAGTTTAAATACATGTGAGACAGACAAGGAGAAGAAGTGCATGTACACAGGCGGTATGTGCATATGTGGAGGTAGAGAAAACAGTTTGCTACTTGTATTCCTACCAACTGGCCAAAGCAGTAACTCAGATGCACATAGAACTGAGACATATGAAGGGACCACATCAGTCAGAGTAGGAAACCCATCAGGGAAACATGTCTATTACATATCCTTTCAATGGCATGAAATTACGGTCAGATTGAGAAGGTTCAGACAAATTAGTTCAGAGTCCATATTCAAGCTGAGGATCAGGCTCTGGTCAGACTCTGGCAGAATGCTTAGCTGCTCTGATGTGTGGTTGTCAGCTCCATGTGTGTTTCAACATAGCACAGAAAGTCTGACTTCTGACACCAAGAGTTAACATCTGTTTCCAATAGTTCCAGTTACAACCTCCTCTTTTAGAGTAAGGTCCTAATTACACAATGTTTTGCATTGAGCTCCTCTACATGGTCATTGGAAGCAGAAAGTCACAGCTACTATTCAAATGACTGAAAATTGTAAGCTACATTGGCTGAATTGCAGAGATGATCCTCAGAAATCCTATTTCATCAATATTTGTTCTGTTTCCTCCTTTTTTTTTTTTGTTGGTTCTAATTTTTATCAGGCCATTTAATGTTTAACAGTGTAAATTAAGAAGAAGATGATGTAGCAGTATAAGTAACAGTTTGGAGAAGAGCATGGTCAGCTGAAGGTCAGCAGCAGGGCTTCTGATTTTGTAAGCACTACATATGGATTTTTCTTTGAGACTTGAAAATGATGCTTTCTGCGGTCAGTGGAATCTTCATGTTAGGTTAATTTCATTTGTACGCTTGTGGCTGTTTGTATGCAGATGTTGCAATGAAACATTAATCAAGCAAGCATGCAAGGGACCAGTGGGACCTGCTATTCTGGGGGAATATGCTTAGCCTGAAATTAGAATAAAATAACCTTTGAAGTCACGGGGACTTATTAAGTAGTTGTTAAAGCAGAATACTGATGAAATCATCTTTTAGGTTGGAAACAGCCTTCACAGTCACTCAAAATTAGCATAATCCCACTAGTGACTGAACAACTTGGGCCAATTTATAAACCCTTCTGATGACTTAATGTATAAAGCTACTGAATTGCTAAGGCCAGGCTGTCTAATTAGGGCTGGGGTTAAGTGTAGGGGGTAGGTGGAAGGCCACAATTTAAATTTAATTGCCCCCCTTAATCCCATAGAAAAACTAATCTGTCACTTGGTAGGGATTTATTTTCTGAATTTCCAATTTTCATATTAAAAATATAGCCCAGATTTAATAAAGTCTTTCCAGTTTCTTCCACTTTTAAATGGTAACAAAAAAAAAAAAAAAATTTGTGGCTGAAATTGTCTAGTTTTAAAATGTTGACATTAATGTGATTAACATTTCTTTAAAGAATGGGAAAAATATGTAGGGAAAACTCAATGACACTATTCAGTGTTTTCCAGCTTCCGGTAGAAGTGCTTCTTCACTATTTCTGTAGAGCACTGTGATACTAAGAGAAATTTTTAACTGATTTGTTACTGTAGAAGTTAAAAACAGAGCCGTGCCTAATATGAGCTTGTTGCAGAAAAAAAACATACTCTTTGCTTCAGAAATTCTTTGAAATTCAGTTTTAGTTTTGTTTAGAAACAAGAAGTAGTCATGGACAGATAAAAACTATCCTCTTTTTCATTAAAGTGTGCAATATCTCAGATACCTAGAAAAAAACAGTCTATGAAATGTTAAATGGGAAGTACTTTTGAAACACTCCCTGTACTACACCGTCACTTCATTTGTTCACAGTACGTAAGGGTTTGGCGGGCTTAACTGGAAGGAACAGGGAGAGTTCTGTCCTAGAGAGATGTAAAGAGAGCTAAATCCTCATCTAGTGCCATACTATGTCTTTTGGTTTAAGGAAACGAAAATTTAACATTACCATACTCAACGCACTCAGATCCTAACAAATATTAGAACACACAACTAATGCATATGTTTGCTACAAAAACAAGACCACCATATCAATAGAAAAATTAAGCAACTGGTTAATCACTAAGAATCCTGGAACTTGGGCTGCCCTCAGAAACTCTAAATCTTGTTTAGATAGTGGATACTGTCATCTTTCACATCCAGAAAGGAATATGGGACCAAGAGAACTTCCCCTTGGCAGGACATGGGAAAATGCATTCATAGCTGTATGGGCTGGAAACCAGAAAACCAGCAACCATTACGGTAGAAAAGTTCTAGAAATGTTTTCATGCAGAAGCTGCAAGGGCAAAAAGCTTAGGGTTAGACAGCATGGATAGCTTGCTACATTTCTGAAGAGGATTTGTGTGAAAAGCCTCCCCAGAATACAAGGGAACTGAATTCAATAAACCAGAGACTTGTTCCTGCTCCTGTGGAGGGCAGGTGGCTTATGTGAACTACATCATGTTATCATTAGGAGAACTAACAATGGAGAAACTTGTCATCTCGAATGGGATTAATCTGAGTGTCCGTTGATTTCCAAACATGATCTGTGCTCCTTTTTTCCTCTTGAGTCCAGGTACTTCCTGAATCCCTAGAGGAAGCCACACATCCCACACAGGTTAATCCACGGTGAGGGGAAAACCACCTCTTAACAAGTTACAAACACTTGTTGCGGCTCCCCAAAAGGAGGGTCCATACAGGCACCTCATTATCTGGTACAAACTGGTGCTTCCCACATGTCTTTACACTCACTTCTGAGTGCTGTGCTGCTATGGCACAGGGTGCTCCAGACTTCTGCCTTGCAGTTTTTCATGAAGTTTATGTAGATGCCTTTCGTCTATCATTTATAAGCAGTGGCCAATGGCTGGCCATGTGAGTAAGTAACCAGGAAGTAAACAGGGGTGTGAATTTAACAAGCCCTGGGTAGTCCATGACAGCCATCTGTCCATGTGCTGCTGGCCTGATGAAAGTGAGGGAATTTATCCCACTTTCAGTGAGAAATGTGATCCTCGCATTTACTCATATTTACCAAACTGTATTTGGGCAGGTGATGTGGAGTATTTGATGTCTTTGAAACCTACACCTGTCTTACCTCATGGTAACTTGTTTTGATGTACCTTGTAGAAGGCAATAATCCAAGAAGATAATGTCATTGTTAATTGAGAACAGGATGGACTTTGGCTCTATAATTCCATTGCCAATGGAGAAAAGATTTGCCTTTTTAGGGCAGTTAGAATGGAATATTACGATTTTATTATGTCTGACATTTTAATGTATAATTTGGCTAAATTTATCAATGACATTTGATGTTGTGTCCATGGAAACTTTAAATATTCCATATGCATTGTATTTTTACAGTTGCACTATATATTATTTATGCTAGCAAACTATTCATTATTTCTTACTAACAAACTCATAATTACCATCTGCTCATCTAATGACTGTTTATTTTGTGAAAGAATAATTTGAAAAAAAGATGAAGTATCTCCAGTGCCTGTGTTTACTCCTTGCTCTTCTTTGTGCTGTAACCCATTGCCACCATGAAGACATTTGCCATAACGTCAAAAACACTAATCTGAATGGTGGAACAGAAGATTTATTAATACATAACTGTGACAAGAAAAGCTCTAAGTATGCAGATTTTGTGTTTAGAATTTACAATCAGGCTATATCAAAAGAAGCTGATAAAAATATTTTCTTTTCTCCCATGAGCATCTCCACTGCTTTTACCATGCTGGCTATTGGTGCTAAGTCAACCACCCTGTCCCAGATTTTTGAAGGCCTGGGCTTTGATGATCTGACTGAGACTCGCATACATTATATACATGAAAGTTTTTATAGAGTTTTAGCAGTACTGAACTGTACTGATGCTAACATTACATTAAATATAGGGAATGCCCTTTTTACAGCTACTGGGTATGAACCACAGGAGACATTTTTACAAAATACCAAACAGTTTTATGAGGCAGATTTTTTTTCTAGCAATTTCCATAAACCAGAAGAAGCTAAGAAACACATCAACAAATATGTAGAGAAGAAGACCAGGGGGAGAATTCCTAGTTTAATTGGTCATCTTGATCCAAGTACTGTATTGGTTCTTGTAAAATACATTTATTTTAAAGGTAAAATATTTAACATAATATTCCAATAGATGATTCTGATGCAAAACAAAAATCGTAGGGAGCTCATGATGATTTATTAGGAGAGTGAATATTTAGGAAAGAGTTAAACTTTGCAGGACCTTCAAAGTGAAGGACTGATCTAGCCAAAAGCAGAGTATCTGATTGTTGATAAATAATATTGGTTGCTCGATTTTGGCTCAGTTTGCCTGAAAGCTGTGGACAAAGAAGTCCTCTCTAAAAGACTGCCTCAAAGACAGTGATCCACTGCATGTAGTCTTGCTGGTCTGAGGACATAATGACTAGGCATGTTTCAAATATCTCTGTGATGACTGTATGTGCCAGTCAAACTTAGCGGACTGATATTCTTGCACTTACAGGGTCCCCAGTATTATGGTGGATTTACTAGGTAAACTGCATGGAAACTTGGGACACAGCCCTGCTTGGGTGTTAGGATCCTTTATTCTGCTGGTTAATTCTTCACCAGGTTGAGTGCAGTCAGCTTGCACGGGGTACAGACTGACAGGAAAGGCATAACAAGATCCTGTGGCTGGATGTTTAAGTGGCTGAATTTGAATAACATAAAAGACACAAGTGATGGAAACATATGGCTACAGTAGAAGCAGGACTCTCTCAATTGGTCCTCATCAACCTTTGGTATTTTTTCAGCAAGACAGGATATCCTCACATTAAATATGCTGAACATACTGCACAGCTAAAATGCTTTATTTTTTTTTTTTTTATGCAGGAGATTGAAGTGATTTAGCAGCCCTGTTTTCCCATGACCAGCCCCCCAGCATTCTACATTTAAGTTGGTCTGATTTATATCAGCCATTTTTTATGAGCTTCATGTGTTTGAATCCAACATCTTCTCTTTTCCTCCATTAGCTGACTGGACAAAGTATTTTGATCCTTTGCATACACATGAGGATGATATTTTTGTGAGCACAAATGCATCTCTTAGAGTCAACATGATGCAGCTTGACAGTAACTATGACAGTTACTATGACAAGAATCTCTCTTGTAAGGTGGAAGAGCTGCCTTACCAGGGCACTGAACGAGCATTGTTTATTCTGCCTGATGATGGAAAGACGAAGCAAGTGGAAGATGCTTCTGTCCAAGGAAACTGTTCGCAAATGGGATAACAAACTCGTGACCAGGTAACTCTAGGTAGATGGGTTACTATATTTGAGGACACATCATTATTTTTAAGAGAAAGCATTAATCAGAGATTGCTTCCTCCTGGATGTAATGTCCTCATTTCATAAAGCAGGGCTTTAACTGATTCCCAAGACAAGTCAGAGCAGAGCATAATTGGCAAGAAACTGCAAGCTTTCTGACCTGACATAAGGGACATAGCATTGTAACAGCTACCTCAAGACTTCCTTGGCTACCTTTTGGCTGCCATATATCTCCTTTCATGGTGATAACATAATTAATTTGCTTCACTGGGTCTTTATCATTCTTTTCCCTTCATTTAGCCTTTCCACAGTTGGTCTGCTTACTCTCTAGAGCCCTCTAGCCACAACACTCTGCTAGTTGTGTATATGGCACTGGAATGAAAAAATGAAATTAGTTTCTCTTTCCAAAATTGAGAACAGAATGTAGGTACAAAAAGAAGGCACATCTCTCTGGATGCCAGAATTGCTCAGGGAGTACAAATGCTGTCATCAAACAAATTAGCAAGCAAAAGAATGCTTTCAAGTGTCGCTGTATTACATACTATCAAGTCTGGTACCTGAAATACAATGCTGCAATGCTTCACTGCTGTTTTGTTTTCTTTGTTCAACAGGAGATTAGATCTGCAGTTACCAAAGATTTCTGTTAGTGGGTCTTATGATCTTAAAAAGCTGTTCAAGGAAATGGGCATTACTGAAGTGTTCTCTGGTAATGCTGATCTGTCTGGAATTAGTAGCAGCCATAATCTCCAGGTTTCAGAAGTAAGTCAACAGAGCTGGTGATGGGGCCATGGTTGGTTGCTCTGGATCTGGGGTTTTTAAAGACTTGCTTTGCCTCCCTGTCCTACTGAAGTTATAAGTAAAATTCACGAGGGCATATTGGGGCTTGCTTAGTAATTGTGCCTTTATACAGAGAGGGCCTGCTTTCCCACCTTTATATTATTTAATATTGTTATTAAAAGGCTGGATATTGAGTACATGGAAAAGCTGGGCAAGATTTTAAACTTTTTCTTGGCACTGGAATACGGTTGTTTACATGAGATTGTGTCAAGTAAGTTATATATGACTAGTATATCATGATATTTGTATTGATTAATACCCATTTTTTTAATATTCTCAGAGTTCCCAGGAAACTTCCAGTTTGCAGTAGCAGATTTTCACCATGTCACTTTAAGTTACGATTAAGTTAATGTGGCAAAGATGACAAATATTGCGTCTGCATCGGCATTTAAATAGCAGTCTTCCATTAATCTCATTGGAATAACAGAGAAATGGACTGTTATTATTCCCCTCTATTCAGCACCGGTGAGGCTGAATTTACAGTGTGTCTGGTTTTGGTTTTGTTCCTCCCCATTAAGTCCTAACATCGAAAACACTCCTGTTGCGGGCTGCTAGAGACTGCCTATCTCCAAACTATACAAGAAAGTTTGGTCCACTAGATTTTAGCACTTTTCTCCTAAATAATCCATAAGAAGAGAGTTTATCTTCACCTCCTGCTTGATGTCTCATAAATACACCACAACGTTTGCTTCTTTTTCTTGCAGGCAGTTCACAAGGCCCTGCTGGAAGTTGATGAGGCTGGAACTGAGGCTGCAGGAGCAACAGCTGTAATCCTTACCAGAGTTCTCCATCCTTCTGTTACCATCAAATTCAACAGGCCCTTCTTTACCTTGATTTCTGACAAAGAAACCCATACCACACTTTTCCTGGGGAAAATTGTTGATCTTACTAAGAAGTGATTGCTGAATTATTTGTCATACTGCAATGGCTACAGGGTTTGCACAAGCAGGCTAGTTAGTGCTACTAACTACTCTCTGACTAAGGGATATTCAGAAGTAAATGAGGAATTCCCTTATCCCTTATATTTTCCTTATAAATGAATAAGGAAAAAGAATGTGACAAAAAAAAACAACTGGCAGTTTTTAAATGTAACATTTTCCCTAATTGAATATATTTTCTATATTTTCATTGGAAGACACTTTATTTTGTAAATTCTGTTATTTTTACAAGCAGTTTTGTCCAAATTGCTTTCAATTATGGGTTATTCACCAAGAGCTTTATCCCAACCAGTAATAAGTCCCTTGCAATTCTAGTATGTCTTTTCCATGACTTGCTGATGACCAGTACTCATCTGAGCTGGTCCCTTCAGAGTACTTTATTCCTTTCATGGCTTTTTGCTGCCTAGGCTGTTATTGTTTACCCTTAACCAACCTGTTCTTTCTCACATGTTCCAATCCTTTGTCTAGGACATCTTGAAAAATATTGACAAAAAAAGAGAAAGTTCCTGAGACAATAGACTTGTTCTGCTGTAGCAGTCACTGTAAAAGTCTTTTTGATGTTCACAGGGTCAGCGAAAGACTGTGAGAGACAGTGACGTTAAGCATAAACTGTCAAAAAATTGTGAGATCATGTCACCCATGAATTATTGCCATGCTTGATGAATCAAATACGCATTGTGCACTCGCAGCTCAGAAAGCCAACTGTATCCTGGGCTGCATCAAAAAGAGCATGACGAGCAGGTAGAAGGAGGTGATCATGCCCCTCTACTCTGCTCTCATGAGACCTCACCTGGAGTACTGTGTACAGTTCTGGTGTCCTCAACATAAAAAGGACATGGAATTGCTGGAACAAGTCCAGAGGAGGGCCATGAGGATGATCAGGGGACTGGAGCACCTCCTGTATGATAGGCTGAGAAAGTTGGGGCTGTTCAGCCTGGGGAAGAGAAAGCTGCGTGGAGACCTCATAGCAGCTTTCCAGTATCTGAAGGGGGCCTATAGGGATGCTAGGGAGGGACTCTTCATTAGGGACTGTAGTGACAGGACAAGGGGCAACAGGTTCAAACTTAAACAGGGGAAGTTTAGATTGGATATAAGGAAGAAATTATTTACTGATAAGGTGGTGAGGCACGGGAATGGGTTGCCCAGGGAAGCTGTGAATGCTCCATCCCTGGCTGTGTTCAAGACCAGGTTGGACGAGGCCTTGGGTGAGATGGTTTAGTGTGAGGTGTCCCTGCCCATGGCAGGGGGGCTGGAACTAGATGATCTTAAGGTCCTTTCCAACCCTAACTATTCTATGATTCTATGATTCTAAATCCACCACTTAAGGACTGACTCCAGTCTTTTACTGTAATTCTATATATATTTTAAAATCAACAAAAACTTTAATTCACTCTTATTAACATAGTAGGGTGCCTTTAAAATATGTTTCAAAGGTAGCTATATCAGTGTAACTTTCCTCATACGGAGATGGTGATTCTTTGCATGCCCTTCTTTTGTGCCTACTTGGGTAAAACCTTTTTTTCAAGAAATACATAAACACTCTCTTGCTGATGTAGGTCTGCAGAACACCCACTCTTGCTGCACTGGAGCACTGGGGCATACTGCTCAGCCTTGCTGAACTTCATTGTGTAACTTCTGTCTCAAGAAGAAGCTGACTTCTGCTTTGGCAGTTGCTCTGTCACTGCACTGCTTTGACTTGTATCATTGCATATTGAACCTGGATGAGTTTTTTTACAAGTGGGGTTTAGTCCCCATCTCTGGGAAGATGATGCTCCTGAATGTACATTGCTAATTTCTACAGTGATCCTGGCAATGTGCTATGAGCACTTCAAAAGTGATGCAAGCCCCATATCAAGAAACAAGCTCCCCATTCCTGACATCTCTCTGTCTCTCTGACCTTTCAAACTTGGTCCACCATGCACAGATGTGCTTTACTGAGACCCATCAGTACTTGCAGCATAGGTTTGGTTTACAGGGGGTATGCTTCTGACTCAAGGGGACTCAGAGACTACTGCTTTGTATGGGTTTCTTTTGCTCCAAGCAGCAAGAACTCAGTGGAAGCCCTAAGCTATTGCTTCTGCAGAAGCAAGATACCATCACTCAGTGGACTGGGAGATACCACACCTTTGCACAAAGCAGCAGCTTTTACAGAGTTGAGATCAATGATAACTTGCTATGGTGTGAGGCAGCCTGCTCTATAGTGGTTGTACAAACTCAACAAAAGCTGGGAACGGCTCCATCGAGATCTCACCCTGATAAATCTGCGCAGTACTGATTAGAAGGTAGCATGGTGAGATTTTTATCAGAGTGTGGTGACAGAAAAACAGGTTCTCAGAATGTTGCTAAAGGGAAAGAGGTTAAGAAAAATCTTACAGTTGCTAGGACAGAGTAGATGCTTTGGGAAATAACACATGGAGCAACTTCCTGCCCCATCTACCTCCTAGGCCTTCGCTTTTGAGAGTGGAGTCAAGGAACTGCAGGAGGAGAGATACACTGGGAGTTTCACAATGGAGTGTGAGGAGTGACTGATTCTGATAAAAGTATCAAACAGGCCATCTCTGAATGCTGGATGGGTTTTGGAGGTATCTACCAAGATGTGTGGTATCATCACCACAGTTGTCCTCCAGTTAAGCAACTTCACACCCCACGCCAATAGATTTGCCTAAGCCATGGCAGGGACCTGGAGAGGGAAGATGGATCGTCCCAAATCTCTGTAGAAAGGGAGGATGTGGGAGGGACAGGAAGTAAATTAACCTTGTGCCATACATATGTGAAAGGCAGAAAAATACCTAGTTTAAAGTATAGAGATCCATAGAGCCTGCAGACCGAACATAGCTAGCTGATGCTACTCCCAGCATAGTCCTAATAATATTCTTTAGAAACTGGACAATCCTGCAAAGATTTTGTGAGAAGACAGGTATTTTGTTTTAATTCCAAAAAAACTTGATTGTGTCGGTCTGCCTTGCATCATTTGTTCTTGTTGATTCTGCCTGTTTCAATGTGCGATAGGGAACATTATTCTTCATGCTCTCTAGTTGTATCAATGGTAGAGAAGGAAAGGAAGGATTATAATAGACATCAGCAAAAATTTTCATTTATCGACTGAGTATTCATCCTATCTGTGGTAAATACATGTATTTTACATGTCTTTCATTCATCTTTAGGTTATTCTATTAACACCCTTTAATCTCCCACTACAACAAAATCAGACCTTATTAGGACAAATTAATCCCACACGTGCATTCTCTCAGTCTATGAGACAGCTGGATCCAAACTAGCCCTAAAAGATAATTAGAGCTTCTGTATACCCTGCTGAGTGTTGTCCACCTCACTTTCCTGCAGTGACAGCCGAAGGCAATAATGCAGCTTACAATGGTGTATGGGTCCCACTGTCATAAACGTCCATAAACATCATGACCTGCTGTGGGCCATGACCTGACATGCTTACAGAAAACTATTACGAAAAGAACTTATGTAAAGAGCATATTTCAGCTGAGAACCCCTGTGAGGGAAGATGGACAAACTGGACTGTGTCTCTGAAAGTAAGTCTTGCTGTGCCCTAGCAGAGCCAAGTGCCAGACTTTTCCTGGCAGCCTCTGAGCCATGTGGAAGACAATAAGGTTGTTCTATCTGGCCTTGTTCATGGTCCACTGGGACACTGTTTACCGATGGGATATCTTTTGTCAGTAAAGCTCTGTTTGCTTTGCCCCGTGGCAGGGTCCATGCAATATGTTCTCACAGGCCATGAAGCAAGGGATTGCAGGGCTCATACAGTATGTGTCCAATGCGTTTCAGCTTTCACCAGTAAGGAAAGGATCTGACTATATGCCAGAAAGGCATAAAGTAATCAAATAATTACAGAAACACCAGATGCTCACATAAACCATGCTATTCTGATGCTACCAGCACTTTGGACTTCCTTATTCTCAGCTATGTGATTTCAGCCTCAACCCTGGTATCTGGAGAACTAGCTCTTGAATAGGCACAGCCTTCTACCCACAGCTATGTCATTCGTTCAGTCCTTGATTGCTGTTACTATTTCAAGGAAACAGGAATTCATCCAGTTATAAGACAACCCTATGCTGTTTCAGTAAAATCAGTACAACAAAAGCAGCAGACTCTTCCCCCTCTACTGACTCTCATTTTAAGCTCTTAAAAATCAGATGATTCTGAGAGTTCCTGGCAGGGTGCTTTTTGTCTGTGGATTCTGAGAACCAGTTACTACTGGTTCTCAGAATGTATGGTATCTACATGGTATCTGTATGGTATCTACAAAGCAGTTTCAGTACATCACAACCCAGCACATTTTTGACATGAGTCTAAGCAGCTTTTGAAGGTATTAAAAATCTCATTGCAGTATTACTTCCTACATCCAGAATTCAAGTCTTGTCTCCAAAGTAAAGAGGCACTAGGGTTTCCCATCAGAAAAAAGTGCAAGAGAAGCACAAACATTTTTAAATGCAAATGTTTCCCCAAAAACTAAATATTCACTGTGGTGGGAACTAGAATGAGTGCAAATTCTCAGGGAGGTAGGGAACATAAAGACCACCATGGGCTATGTATCTCCATGTCCTGCAACACATCCTCCATATCTTACCCATCCATCTAATATTCCCTGTTGAGTAGTGCACCTCTGTTCTTACCCATATGGGGTTGCTTTGATTATATTTAAACTGAGCACATGCATGATATCATCCATTCCTTGTAAACTGTTAGCTAGCAAAGACTCATGTGGAAATAGTCATTATTAAGTTCCCAGTCCCATGTATAACAGAGAACCCATTTTTAAATAACTTGGTAATTGTGCTTTCCTCACACTAACAGTTTTAAAGAAAACTGCAATTCATTCATTTCATGTAAATGTCCGTGAGTGAGACTAATGTCCATTACACAAACTCAGCTCAGCACTGATGTTGCTACAAATGACTTTACTAGCTTCTTGCAAAAGAGAATTTCAAGACAAAAGTAGCTTTTTAGTTCAATCCTATCCCTGCAGATGAATTAATTACAAGCAAATTAGCCTGACTTATACAAATGAGTCTTTACTTCTCTTATTTTTGACTGCATTCAGCTTCTTTTCATAAGACATCTGGAAACAAAATATTATTATTTGATACTTAACAAGAAGGCATCCTTTGTGGTTGGAAAACTTCTGCTAACAGCAAT